TAATGCATTGTAAATGAAGTTGGAACAATATCTTTAGAGCTCCGATCTATCTATCCAAACAGATATAATACGCTCCAAACGGATAAGCACACAGCAAGATATGAGTGTCACAAATACTTAGCCTATCTCTATGATTTATCGTTTTCAGCGAAAAAAGAGCACTTTTAGCGTAAATACAGTGTATTTTAGTAATTTGGAAATCATCCCCTGATAGTTTGAAACCAGCGCCAGAAGAAAAGTTTTAGAACTCGGTAAGATGTTTCCAACGAGATGTTAAACGCTTTCAACGGCACAAAATAGAGGAAAATATGATCGCATCAAATTCTACACGAGTTCGGAGTGAAATCAGAAACATGTGTGAATATATGGTTAATCTGTAACTTTTAATTAATGCATTGTATGTTAAGTTGGAACATTAGCTTTAGAGCTCCGATCTATATTTCCAACGAGATATAATACGCTCCAAACGGATAAACACACAGCAAGATATGAGTGTCACAAATACTTAGCCTTATCTCTATGATTTAGCGTTTTCAGCGAAAATAGAGCACTTTTTGCGTAAATACAGTGTATTTTAGTAATTAGGCAATCATCCCTTGATATTTTGAAACCAGCGCCTGAAAACAAGTTTTAGAACTCGGTAAGCGCTTTCCAACGAGATATTAAACGCTTTCAACGTCACAAAATAGAGCAAGATATGATCGCATCAAAATCTACCCGAGTTTTGAGTGAAATCAGAAACATTTGTGAATATATGGTTAATCTGTAACTTTTAATTAATGCATTATAAATTAAGTTGAAACAATAGCTTTAGAGCTCCGATCTATCTTTCCAACGAGATACAATACGCTCGAAACGGATAAACACACAGAAAGATATGAGTCTCACAAGTACTTAGCCTTATCTCTATGATTTAGCGTTTTCAGCGCAAATTGAGCACTTTTAGCTTAAATACAGTGTATTTTAGTAATTAGGTAATCATCCCTTGATATTTTGAAACCGGAGCCTGAAGACAAATTTTAGAACTCGTAAAGATCTTTCCAACGAGATATTAAACGCTTTCAACGGCACAAAATAGAGCAAGATATGATGGCATCAAATTCTACACGAGTTCGGAGTGAAATCAGAAACATTTGTGAATATATGGTTAATATGTAACTTTTAATTAATGCATTGTAAATGAAGTTGGAACAATAGCTTTAGAGCTCCGATCTATCTTTCCAACGATATGTAATACGGTCCAAAAGGATAAACACACAGCAAGATATGAGTGTCACAAATACTTAGCCTTATCTCTATGATTTAGCGTATTCAGCGAAAATAGAGCACTTTGAGCGTAAACACAGTGTATTTTAGTAATTAGGCAATCATCCCTTGATATTATGAAACCAGAGCCCGAAGACAAGTTTTAGAACTCGGTAAGATCTTTCCAACGAGATATTAAACGCTTTGAACGGCACAAAATAGAGCATGATATGATCGCATCACATTCTACATGAGTTCGGAGTGAAATTAGAAACATTTGTGAATATATGGTTAATCTGTAACTTTTAATTAATGCATTGTAAATGAAGTTGGAACAATAGCTTTAGATCTCCGATCTATCTTTCCAACGATATGTAATACGGTCCAAACGGATAAACACACAGCAAGATATGAGTGTCACAAATATTTAGCCTTATCTCTATGATTTAGCGTTTTCATCGAAAATAGAGCTCTTTTAGCGTAAATACAGTGTATTTCAGTAATTAGGTAATCATCCCTTGATACTTTGAAACCCGGGCCTGAAGACAAGTTTTAGAACTCGGTATGATCCTTCCAACGAGATATTAAACACTCTCAACGGCACAAAATAGAGCAAGATGTGATCGCCTCAAATTCTACACGAGCTCGGAGTGAAATCAGAAACATTTGTGAATATATGGTTAATCTGTAACTTTTAATTAATGCATTGTAAATGAAGTTGGAACAATAGCTTTAGATCTCCGATCTATCTTTCCAACGAGATATAATACGCTCCAAATGGATAAACACACAGCAAGATATGAGTGTCACAAATACTTAGCCTTATCTCTATGATTTAGCGTTTTCAGCGAAAATAGAGCACTTTTAGCGTAAATACAGTGTATTTTAGTAATTAGGCAATCATCTCTTGATATTCTGAAACCAGAGCCTGAAGACAAGTTTTAGAACTCGGTAAGATCTTTCCAACGAGATATTAAACGCTTTTAATGGCACAAAATAGAGCATGATATGATCGCATCACATTCTACACGAGTTCGGAGTGAAATCAGAAACATTTGGGAATATATGGTTAATCTGTAACTTTTAATTAATGCATTGTAAATGAAGTTGGAACAATAACTTTAGATCTCCGATCTATCTTTCCAACGAGATATAATACGCTCCAAACTGATAAACACACAGCAAGATATGAGTGTCACAAATACTTAGCCTTATCTCTATGATTTAGCGTATTCAGCGAAAATAGAGCACTTTGAGCGTAAACACAGTGTATTTTAGTAATTAGGCAATCATCCCTTGATATTCTGAAACCAGAGCCCGAAGAAAAGTTTTAGAACTCGGTAAGATCTTTCCAACGAGATATTAAACGCTTTGAACGGCACAAAATAGAGTATGATATGATCGCATCACATTCTACACGAGTTCGGAGTGAAATCAGAAACATTTGTGAATATATGGTTAATCTGTAACTTTTAATTAATGCATTGTAAATGAAGTTGGAACAATAGATTTAGATCTCCGATCTATCTTTCCAACGAGATATAATACGCTCCAAACGTATAAACACACAGCAAGATATGAGTGTCACAAATACTTAGCCTTATCTCTATGATTTAGCGTTTTAAGCAAAAATAGAGCACTTTTAGCCTAAATACAGTGTATTTTAGTAATTAGGCAATCATTCCTTGATATTCTGAAACCAGATACTGAAGACAAGTTTTAGAACTCGGTAAGATCTTTCCAACGAGATATTAAATGCTTTGAACGGCACAAAACAGAGCATGATATGATCGCATCACATTCTACACGAGTTCGGAGTGAAATCAGAAACATTTGTGAATATATGGTTAATCTGTAACTTTTAATTAATGCATTGTAAATGAAGTTGGAACAATAGCTTTAGATCTCCGATCTATCTTTCCAACGATATGTAATACGGTCCAAACGGATAAACACACAGCAAGATATGAGTGTCACAAATACTTAGCCTTATCTCTATGATTTAGCGTTTTCAGCGAAAATAGAGCTCTTTTAGCGTAAATACAGTGTATTTCAGTAATTAGGTAATCATCCCTTGATACTTTGAAACCCGGGCCTGGAGCAAAAGTTGAGAGCTTCTCTCTCCTGGGAAAACTTTCGCCCAGCTCTTTTGCGTAAGTTGAATTTTACGCTATGGTGGTTCATGAGCTTTAATCGTTTGTTGGGTGATGTTCATTGGCTGGAATTTACTTCGGCTGGTTTTGATTTGGGTTTACAAGCACGAACGATAGCCATAACAGCAGTTGCGAGAGCCTTATTGCGCAACTACTGTTCATGAAGTTTTTATGAGAATTCGTTTGGATTCAGTGAAAAATTGTTTGTAATTGATTCTTATTACTGCTTTTCGACCTACGATTGATTGAATTAGCATATCAATTGCGGATTTCATTTCTGTAAGGCGAGGGTTTGTTTGTCGCGACTGAAATTTGGGGAAACAGGGTCTGCGTAAGTAGCTGCGGTTTCTGCTACTTGCGGTTTGGGGAAACAGAGAATGGGTAGGGGTTTGAAAGCTACGCCCAGGCCGGGGATTTCTGCTCGCAGGTGTCTGAGAGCGCCCAGGCTCGTTTGGATTTCAGTTCGCAGGTTCTGCTGCGTACAGGCCTCAACGAACCGAACACAGGCGTCTTCTGCAAGATGTGTCTGTTTGGATTTACACACTCTGGTCTGTAAACTAAGGGAGCTGCTGTGGACTGTTTTTTTTGTGTGCTCTGCGAATTGTTTCCAGTACAGGGGCTGTGAACAGGTTCAATGGCACGGAAGAAACAGGTTAGCGTGGATACCCCTTCCAGAATGACCAGGGCTACTGCAGCAGTTGATTTCAAAGTGTTGGAAGGGTTAGATGAAAATTTTCCTATCCTAAATTCTGGGATAAATGGGACAAAGCAGTCACCTATGAAGGGAGTCAATGACAAAGCAGCAGCTATTGAACTTCCTGGTGCTGGGCAGACTACTGGGACTGTCCCAAACGCTGAGGAAAATAGTGTTGGGCAACATGTCCAAACTTTGGCAGTAACTAATGCCACTAAAACATGGAACTCATTGTTTAAGGATAACCGCGATCCAACACATGGTATTAAATTGAAATATGTCCCACCTAAGGGGGAAACTCTGGACTTTGTTGGTCGGGAATTACCTTCTATGATAGAAATGTGGGGATATTGTCTTGTGGGATACTTCACCGGAAGATTTCCCGGACTCAAAGCGGTTCATGATTTGAAGGCAACTTGGGGAGTGAAATGCCTTGTGAGATCCCATGAGCAGTGGGTCATCTTCAAATTCCAAAATGAAGTGGATAGAACTAAGGTACTACATGAGGGACCTTACACGGTTTTTGGGAAACTTCTAATGCTCAAAGAGCTCTCCGATGATTTCTCCTTTGAGGATGTGGAATTTCTTAAAGTACCCATTTGGATCAAATTTCCTAAACTACCAATGAAGTTATGGAATGATGAGGCTATGAGTGAGGTGGCATCTATGGTTGGGATCCCTATTACTACAGACAAGATCACCCAAGAGAGGACTAATAATGACTATGCTAGAGTGCTCATTGAGGTTGATGTTTCAAAGCCGCCACCGCTATCTTTTCCCATCCGACTACCTTCACGAAAGGTATTCAAACAAAATGTGGTTTATGAGACTTTTCCTAAGTTTTGCTTTCATTGCAAACAATATGGGCATAACCCATTTATGTTTCTAGCTAAAGGAGGTGATGGGGAAATAAACAAGGACAAATTTGTTGATGAAAGTCATAGCAAAGTGGGAAACATAGGGAAAGATAAGGGAGCTGCAGACTGTGATTTTCGGAGGGCTGTCTCACCAGATATGACTGTCCAGGGGGGTAACCCGACCGGGCTTACCCCAAACCCGACCGGGTCTCGCAAACAAACTGCCCAGGGGGCTGGAAAGGCTGCGGAAGCTGCTGCCGCTGATATTCTACCTGCCCAGGAGACTGCCGATGATGTGCAAACTGTAAAGAAGGGTTCCAAGCTGTCCAAGAAACCTGCCCAGGGGGCTGGAAGCGCTGCGGAACCTGCTGCCACGGATATACAATCTGCCCAGGGGGCTGGAAGCGCTGCGGAACCTGCTGCCACGGAACAATCTGCCCAGGGGCATGCAAATGGCGTGCAAACTGTCAAGGATTCCAAATGTGAGAACAAGTGCTCGGATGTAGGTTCTGAAGTCATCGTGGAGGATATTGAGAGGGTAGTGACGGATGAAAATGACTTGCATCAACATGATGTTGTCATCAAATGTGAGGTAATAAACGGTAAGACGCTCAGCTTGGTAGTCAAACCGTTTAGATTTGTGCAAGCAAGTGTGATTAGAGTGGATACCTCTCTTCGACTTACGGATGATTTGGATAACAAGGGCCTAACATTTACTACTAAATGTTTTGAGGGCTTACCGGGGTATCTTAAAAAGAAAGGGGAGGTGTGCTTTGGCTCAAAGTTCACTACTATTTTCCGTGAGTTCTTTGGATGTTAGATTAGGGTCACCTAATATTTTGTTGAGGTTTTCGTGAACTCTTGTTCCCTAGGTGTTTGGGTTCAAATTGTTGACTTTTGAGATTGTGGTGTTTTGATTATGTGGTATCCCATTCATCGGGGTATGCACTTTGCTTGTACACATTGACTTGTTATTTTCTTTGGGTGTTAATATATATTTTTACATTTCATCCAAAAAAAAAAAAATTGAAACCCGGGCCTGAAGACAAGTTTTAGAACTCGGTATGATCCTTCCAACGAGATATTAAACACTTTCAACGGCACAAAATAGAGCAAGATGTGATCGCCTCAAATTCTACACGAGCTCGGAGTGAAATCAGAAACATTTGTGAATATATGGTTAATCTGTAACTTTTCATTAATGCATTGTAAATGAAGTTGGAACAATAGCTTTAGATCTCCGATCTATCTTTCCAACGAGATATAATACGCTCCAAACTGATAAACACACAGCAAGATATGAGTGTCACAAGTACTTAGCCTTATCACTATGATTTAGTGTTTTCAGCGAAAATAGAGCACTTTTAGCGTAAATACAGTGTATTTTAGTAATTAGGTAATCATCCCTTGATATTTTGAAACCGGAGCCTGAAGACAAACTTTAGACCTCGTAAAGAGCTTTCCAACGAGATATTAAACGCTTTCAACGGCACAAAATAGAGCAAGATATGATCGCATCAAATTCTACACGAGTTCGGAGTGAAATCAGAAACATTTGTGAATATATGGTTATCCATAACTTTTAATTAATGCATTGTAAATGAAGTTGGAACAATATCTTTAGAGCTCCGATCTATCTATCCAAACAGATATAATACGCTCCAAACGGATAAACACACAGCAAGATATGAGTGTCACAAATACTTAGCCTATCTCTATGATTTATCGTTTTCAGCGAAAAAAGAGCACTTTTAGCGTAAATACAGTGTATTTTAGTAATTTGGAAATCATCCCCTGATAGTTTGAAACCAGCGCCAGAAGAAAAGTTTTAGAACTCGGTAAGATGTTTCCAACGAGATGTTAAACGCTTTCAACGGCACAAAATAGAGGAAAATATGATCGCATCAAATTCTACACGAGTTCGGAGTGAAATCAGAAACATGTGTGAATATATGGCTAATCTGTAACTTTTAATTAATGCATTGTATGTTAAGTTGGAACATTAGCTTTAGAGCTCCGATCTATATTTCCAACGAGATATAATACGCTCCAAACGGATAAACACACAGCAAGATATGAGTGTCACAAATACTTAGCCTTATCTCTATGATTTAGCGTTTTCAGCGAAAATAGAGCACTTTTTGCGTAAATACAGTGTATTTTAGTAATTAGGCAATCATCCCTTGATATTTTGAAACCAGCGCCTGAAAACAAGTTTTAGAACTCGGTAAGCGCTTTCCAACGAGATATTAAACGCTTTCAACGTCACAAAATAGAGCAAGATATGATCGCATCAAAATCTACCCGAGTTTTGAGTGAAATCAGAAACATTTGTGAATATATGGTTAATCTGTAACTTTTAATTAATGCATTATAAATTAAGTTGAAACAATAGCTTTAGAGCTCCGATCTATCTTTCCAACGAGATACAATACGCTCGAAACGGATAAACACACAGCAAGATATGAGTCTCACAAGTACTTAGCCTTATCTCTATGATTTAGCGTTTTCAGCGCAAATTGAGCACTTTTAGCTTAAATACAGTGTATTTTAGTAATTAGGTAATCATCCCTTGATATTTTGAAACCGGCGCCTGAAGACAAATTTTAGAACTCGTAAAGATCTTTCCAACGAGATATTAAACGCTTTCAACGGCACAAAATAGAGCAAGATATGATGGCATCAAATTCTACACGAGTTCGGAGTGAAATCAGAAACATTTGTGAATATATGGTTAATATGTAACTTTTAATTAATGCATTGTAAATGAAGTTGGAACAATAGCTTTAGAGCTCCGATCTATCTTTCCAACGATATGTAATACGGTCCAAAAGGATAAACACACAGCAAGATATGAGTGTCACAAATACTTAGCCTTATCTCTATGATTTAGCGTATTCAGAGAAAATAGAGCACTTTGAGCGTAAACACAGTGTATTTTAGTAATTAGGCAATCATCCCTTGATATTATGAAACCAGAGCCCGAAGACAAGTTTTAGAACTCGGTAAGATCTTTCCAACGAGATATTAAACGCTTTGAACGGCACAAAATAGAGCATGATATGATCGCATCACATTCTACATGAGTTCGGAGTGAAATTAGAAACATTTGTGAATATATGGTTAATCTGTAACTTTTAATTAATGCATTGTAAATGAAGTTGGAACAATAGCTTTAGATCTCCGATCTATCTTTCCAACGATATGTAATACGGTCCAAACGGATAAACACACAGCAAGATATGAGTGTCACAAATACTTAGCCTTATCTCTATGATTTAGCGTTTTCATCGAAAATAGAGCTCTTTTAGCGTAAATACAGTGTATTTCAGTAATTAGGTAATCATCCCTTGATACTTTGAAACCCGGGCCTGAAGACAAGTTTTAGAACTCGGTATGATCCTTCCAACGAGATATTAAACACTCTCAACTGCACAAAATAGAGCAAGATGTGATCGCCTCAAATTCTACACGAGCTCGGAGTGAAATCAGAAACATTTGTGAATATATGGTTAATCTGTAACTTTTAATTAATGCATTGTAAATGAAGTTGGAACAATAGCTTTAGATCTCCGATCTATCTTTCCAACGAGATATAATACGCTCCAAATGGATAAACACACAGCAAGATATGAGTGTCACAAATACTTAGCCTTATCTCTATGATTTAGCGTTTTCAGCGAAAATAGAGCACTTTTAGCGTAAATACAGTGTATTTTAGTAATTAGGCAATCATCTCTTGATATTCTGAAACCAGAGCCTGAAGACAAGTTTTAGAACTCGGTAAGATCTTTCCAACGAGATATTAAACGCTTTTAATGGCACAAAATAGAGCATGATATGATCGCATCACATTCTACACGAGTTCGGAGTGAAATCAGAAACATTTGGGAATATATGGTTAATCTGTAACTTTTAATTAATGCATTGTAAATGAAGTTGGAACAATAACTTTAGATCTCCGATCTATCTTTCCAACGAGATATAATACGCTCCAAACTGATAAACACACAGCAAGATATGAGTGTCACAAATACTTTGCCTTATCTCTATGATTTAGCGTATTCAGCGAAAATAGAGCACTTTGAGCGTAAACACAGTGTATTTTAGTAATTAGGCAATCATCCCTTGATATTCTGAAACCAGAGCCCGAAGAAAAGTTTTAGAACTCGGTAAGATCTTTCCAACGAGATATTAAACGCTTTGAACGGCACAAAATAGAGTATGATATGATCGCATCACATTCTACACGAGTTCGGAGTGAAATCAGAAACATTTGTGAATATATGGTTATCCATAACTTTTAATTAATGCATTGTAAATGAAGTTGGAACAATATCTTTAGAGCTCCGATCTATCTATCCAAACAGATATAATACGCTCCAAACGGATAAACTCACAGCAAGATATGAGTGTCACAAATACTTAGCCTATCTCTATGATTTATCGTTTTCAGCGAAAAAAGAGCACTTTTAGCGTAAATACAGTGTATTTTAGTAATTTGGAAATCATCCCCTGATAGTTTGAAACCAGCGCCAGAAGAAAAGTTTTAGAACTCGGTAAGATGTTTCCAACGAGATGTTAAACGCTTTCAACGGCACAAAATAGAGGAAAATATGATCGCATCAAATTCTACACGAGTTCGGAGTGAAATCAGAAACATGTGTGAATATATGGTTAATCTGTAACTTTTAATTAATGCATTGTATGTTAAGTTGGAACATTAGCTTTAGAGCTCCGATCTATATTTCCAACGAGATATAATACGCTCCAAACGGATAAACACACAGCAAGATATGAGTGTCACAAATACTTAGCCTTATCTCTATGATTTAGCGTTTTCAGCGAAAATAGAGCACTTTTTGCGTAAATACAGTGTATTTTAGTAATTAGGCAATCATCCCTTGATATTTTGAAACCAGCGCCTGAAAACAAGTTTTAGAACTCGGTAAGCGCTTTCCAACGAGATATTAAACGCTTTCAACGTCACAAAATAGAGCAAGATATGATCGCATCAAAATCTACCCGAGTTTTGAGTGAAATCAGAAACATTTGTGAATATATGTTTAATCTGTAACTTTTAATTAATGCATTATAAATTAAGTTGAAACAATAGCTTTAGAGCTCCGATCTATCTTTCCAACGAGATACAATACGCTCGAAACGGATAAACACACAGAAAGATATGAGTCTCACAAGTACTTAGCCTTATCTCTATGATTTAGCGTTTTCAGCGCAAATTGAGCACTTTTAGCTTAAATACAGTGTATTTTAGTAATTAGGTAATCATCCCTTGATATTTTGAAACCGGAGCCTGAAGACAAATTTTAGAACTCGTAAAGATCTTTCCAACGAGATATTAAACGCTTTCAACGGCACCAAATAGAGCAAGATATGATGGCATCAAATTCTACACGAGTTCGGAGTGAAATCAGAAACATTTGTGAATATATGGTTAATCTGTAATTTTTAATTAATGCATTGTAAATGAAGTTGGAACAATAGCTTTAGAGCTCTGATCTATCTTTCCAACGATATGTAATACGGTCCAAACGGATATACACACAGCAAGATATGAGTGTCACAAATACTTAGCCTTATCTCTATGATTTAGCGTATTCAGCGAAAATAGAGCACTTTGAGCGTAAACACAGTGTATTTTAGTAATTAGGCAATCATCCCTTGATATTATGAAACCAGAGCCCGAAGACAAGTTTTAGAACTCGGTAAGATCTTTCCAACGAGATATTAAACGCTTTGAACGGCACAAAATAGAGCATGATATGATCGCATCACATTCTACATGAGTTCGGAGTGAAATCAGAAACATTTGTGAATATATGGTTAATCTGTAACTTTTAATTAATGCATTGTAAATGAAGTTGGAACAATAGCTTTAGATCTCCGATCTATCTTTCCAACGATATGTAATACGGTCCAAACGGATAAACACACAGCAAGATATGAGTGTCACAAATACTTAGCCTTATCTCTATGATTTAGCGTTTTCATCGAAAATAGAG